TCTCTGTCTCTGTCTCTGTCTCTGTCTCTCTCTCTCTCTCTCTCTCTCTCTCTCTCTCTCCCTTTCTGAGGCAGAGTTTCTCTCTGTAGCCGGGGCTGTCCTGGAACTCACTCTATAAACCAGGCTAGCCTTGAACTTAAAGAGATCCTCCTGCCTCTGCCTCCCAAACGTTGGGATTAAAAGTGTGTGCCACCACTGCCCAACCATTCACTTTCTCTCACTGTTTCTTTGCAGTGATCTGAGAGCATGACCAGCTTTCTCTGTATCCAGTCTGCCTTGGCACATTGTGTTTCATTTTCATTTCTCTCTGGTTATTCTCTGACCTCATTCATGATCTCTTTGTCTGTTTACTGGTGTGCTGTTGATGGACTAGGGATGTCCTTAGGGGATAGACAACTTGCCTAGCAGGCATGAGACTCTGGGTTTTATTCCCAGCATCACCAAAAATGTGTGTTATTTCATTTCAATCTGTTTGTGATTTTTCCAGCATTTCTTCAGGCTTGCAGCAAATATCTTTACCCACTGAGACTTTTCAGGAGAGTACTGAAGTCTCCAACTATGATCATGTTATTTTCTAGTTTCACTCCATGAAATTCAAAATGCATGCTGTATGATTTCCACATTTTATATCCATTAAGACTTGCTTTTGTGGCCTAACACAGTATGTGGGAGAATATTCCCTGTGTTTAGTTTGGGAACATGTTCATTATCCTGTTGTTGTGCGAGCCATTAGGTTTATCTTAACACATTCAATTGGTTCACAGTATTGTTCAGGTTCTCTGTTTCTTTATTGAAATAGGCCCATAGGTGAGGACACTTGGTGCCAGGCCAAACCTGATGATTGGAGTTCAATTCCCAGGACCAAGGAGGTGAAAGAAAATTTCCATAAATTGCCCTCTGGTCTCCACATGCATACCATGATCTATGCATTCTCCACAAGGAGTAAATGCAATAAAAAACTTTATGCTATTGAGATCTCCAACTGCTATCGTCAAGTTATCCATTTCTCTATTTAATTCTGTATTTAATTCTTTTAATGCACATTAACAATATATTTATATATTTTGTGTTAGTCTGATGTCTGTTGCTAAAATAAATACTCAAGGAAAGCTACTTTACAAAGACATGGGATTCACTTAGCTTATAGTTTTGTGGGTACAAAAGCATGGTACCAACATCTGCCTGGCTTTGATAGGGAACCTTTTGGCTGCCTCATGTGGTATGTGGCACCAAAATGGCAGATCCAGTGCGAGAATTAGAGATCATATGAGTCAAGAAGCCAGAGAGCTGCCTCTCAGACTTACTCCATTATGACAGTCCTCTTGTGAAAACTAACCCTGGTCACTAACTCCTTGCAAAGATAGAGCCCTTAATCACTAAACACTTTTCTTTAGTCTCTACCTTCTTTTGCTTCCTTGTTGTTTTGTTTTTATTTTTCTTGTTTGATTGTTTCTTGAGACAATGTAACCTCCCCTTATGTAACCTGGGTCTATAACTCACTATTACAGCCTAGGTTCTACATTGCTTAGTTTCTAACATAGTCACAGAGGGAACAGAGTGTCCATCACTCCCACATGGCTTGATGGTAGCAATCCTCTTTAAGACAGTTGCTAACCCCCATGTGTGGGTGCTGAGAACTGAAACCCGGTCTTCTGACAGGAAGGGGCGGGGTCAGCTCTTCTGTGCCCAGGCCACTGGGCTAGCTCTCCTGAGCCTACAAATTGGATAATATAAATCTAAAGTAGTCACTGATAGTCAATGACTTGTTTTGACATTCAAAAAAATTTTTTAGGTCCCCCACCCCATTTCCACTCTTTCATCAGCCAGCCCTTCAAGTTCATTTATAAGAGTGTGTGTGTAGGGAGAGAGAGAGAGAGAGAGAGAGAGAGAGAGAGAGAGAGAGAAGCATTTGATTCACTTCTAATCTCCTTTTGTATACATTCTACAAATTTACATTGTGATTTTCATGTGGGTCACATAAGACCTCACAAAGTTATCACAATCCAATTTGAATAGATGCAATATGACTTCAATTACTTATAAAAATGCTCTTAGAGACCTCTATGTTGCCCTCCATTTCTATGTTATTGATGTCACAATTTATATCTTTAGGTACTGTTTACCTGCTAAAGACAGATTCATGGTTCTTTATATGTATTGTCTTCAAATCTTGTATTTTAAAAGGGGAGTTACACACTAACATGAAAATAACAAGCCTTTATTTTTATTTTATTATTTGCCTCTAATGGAGATTTTCATATCTATTCTGCATCTATTTTCACCCATTTCCACCTGAACATTTTTTTTATCACCTCTTACATTACAGCTCCACTGATAGTGAATTTCCCCCTCATCAGTTTGCTTAGCTTCATTGTTAACCTCTCCCTCCCATTTTCAGGATAGTCTTACTGGATATAAAATTCTTGGTTGATTCTTGGTTTGTTTGTTGCTTGTTTTAGCACTTGAAATACACTATCCCATTTCTGCTGGACTCCAGGATTCCCCACAAGGAGTTGGCTACTAATGATTATTGAGGAGTCTGTACAGGACAAGTTACATCTTTTCCTGCGTCTTTGAAGATTTCCTTTGCCTTTGGTTTTTAGTAGTTCAAATACATGTCTCAGTGTAGGTCTCGTTGACCTAGGTGATGATACCCAGTTTCTATTTCACAAGTTTGACACGAGGATTGAGTGATTGAAGCACCTGGCTCGCCCGAATTGTGAATTCATCCCCCATCACCAGGCTGTCATTGCCTGCCTGGGCTAGGGACTAGATCTGAGCCTAGGGATAAGACTATGAGAAACCAGATGTCACATATGGACCTGAGTGTGGCTTTCTCAACTCTTCTATATACAGATGTGTTATGATAAATCTTTCTGCCAAAAGCTGCCTGAGCCCCACCGCCACGTGTGAGCTTTATGTCAGCCGCCTGCCCAAGTTAGACCCAAAAAAATACACAGAAACTTGTATTAGGTACAATGCTGCTTGGCCAATGACTAGGATTCTCATCTGTTATCTCAGTCTCAATTATCATACGTCTATATATTTTATAAGACTTATCTTATCGGACGCCTTATTGGCGTCCCTCCTTGTTGGAGGCTCACATCCTGCCGCTGGAGGAGGCGAACGGGAAAAAGGGGCCCTTCCTGTTTCTCCTTCGCTTAAACGAGTCTCCTTTCTATGTCATTCCCTGTCTGGATCATCACTTCTCTACTACATTTCCCAGAATCCTCTTTGACTCCTAGTCCTGTCTACTTGCTGTCTCATTGGCCAAACAGTATTTTATTTAACAATCAATAAGATAAACATACACAGTACATTCCCCATCACAGATGCTTTTGAATATCTGCATTTCCACAGCATCCCATCCCCAGACGCTCCTTCTATGATGTATTTCCATCTGTCTTCTTTGTTCCAGTTATCTGTGGGCCCAAAGTCCCTGCTGTGTCTTTCCTCAGTTGAGACTTAAGTTAGATAAAAGTCTTGTTAAAGAAAGTGAAGTTTATTCTGCCCTGTCCAATTTGAGAAAGGGAACCAGGAATTCAGCTGCCATCTTCCCCAGGCAATACCATGCTCTAGCTCTGGGTGACCTACAAGCTTTGTGAACACAGGCACAGCAATTGGTCCATATGGCACAACCTGGATCGTGACTAGGTAGAGGAATGGACGGATGGGTGAGTGGGTAGATGAGTGGGTAGATGGATGGATAGATGATGATAGATAGAGAGATAGTTGAATGGATGAATGGAGCTGAGGAGTGGTTAGCTTATCCAAAATGAGCACTTACTGCATGACCCCCTCCCCTTTCAATGCTGGATTTTTCCTTTCATTCTTCTGGTGGTGTTGACTGTAAGTTCTCAGGATGGGGATCTGTGCATACTTAGCATGCTTCAGAGTATGAGATTTAAAAATATATTTAATATGTAGAACTAAAAGGAAGGGTTTCCTGCCTCGAGTGTGGGGTCCTGGAAGCAGAAAGCAGAAAAGAGTTCCATTCAGAAGCAAGAGACATACCCTCCAATCTCATTTTCCCAAGTGAGGGCTGAGTGTGTCAGGGTCTTTCACCTTGTTCTAGTGATGGGGAGTGATGTGGCTTAGTGAAGAAGAGTCTCTCCTCACCCCGTGGCTTGGCAGTTACTGGAGAAGAATCTCGGGGTCCAAAGTCCCCAGTCTCTGGGACCGTCAGGGTGGATCACACCTATCCAGCCTCTGCTGCAAGTTCTAATCAGAATTCCCCAACTCAGGCCCAACTGAAGGGCTACTTCCAGGGAGAGCAATGATTCATGCCAGGAGCAGCACTCCCACCTCCTCCCAGCCCCCACTTCTCCCCCTCCCCCACCTCCCTTTGATTTGGATGGACTCTTCCTGACCACCTTCAGGCTTTACCCAGCCTACTTCTCCAGATACTGTTATTTTGGGAGTGTGTTGAGCTCAGCACTGTCTGTCCCCAGGTGGCATTTTACAGTTGGTCTTTGGGTGGTGGCCCTGTTCTGCATAGCAGCCCTTCTTACATAGTAAGCCCTTCTTACTTATGTAAGAAGGGCTGCTATGTCCAACATACCTCAGCTGAACCCACAGCCCTTCCCAGCCTGGAGTCAGACGTGAAGCCCAAGGCATGGGCCCCGAACCTCACAGCCAGGTGCTTTCTACACTCTTTTTCAGGGCTGACAGCCAGCATAAGAGTGACAACAGAGCTATGTCCTGCCAGGGAGGGGCCTCAGCCAGGACAGGAAACAAGAGTCCAGCTTGTAGCAGACCCGAAGCCTCCCAAATGCACGCAGCTGGTTAATGGATCAGTAGCTGGAGCCCAGAGCTCTGCCCACCAGGAGGACCCTGGAGTGGGGCCTAAGAGGGGAAGAGAGCTGCACAGGGTCACAGCATCACTACAGTTTTGTTTTTTGTTTTTATTTATTTTTTGTTCTTTCTTCCTTTCAGTTACCAGGAATAATGTCAATGAAGATGGGCGCAGTGGCCCTCTGCTTCTGCCTCCTTGCAGCTGCTGTGTGGTTGGGCCTGTCAATGACAACATCTGAGTCCACTGGAGGAGGAGGAGGAGGAGGCAGTGGAGGAGGAGGAGGAGGCGGAGGAGGTGGAGGAGAAAGAGATTCATGTGTTCCTGAACTCTTACCACAAGCAGACAGGGGACTATGCGGGTAAACAGAGTGGGCAGAGTGGGAAGGGGTGGCCTCCTGGAGTGTGCATCTGTAACTCAGCAGCACTGTGCCTTAACTAGCTTTTGTGAGAGCAAGCATAAAGCCTGGAGACCACCTTGATGAGGGTGACAGAGGGTGGTACTGGGGGGAAGACCCTGCGGATACAGCTAGTCATCAAAACCCACCTAGAAAGCTTGTTCCCTGAGGTTTTCAACAAAGTGGCATTTTAATGAAAAGAAGCCGTGTCCGTCATCCGAGATGATTTTTTTTTTTCTAGCAGTAGGCCTGAGTGTGTTTTGCTCAGTCTCAGAACTGGAAGAACTATGGTTATCCATCTGACTTTGTCTGGTACCCTCCATGGCTGCAGCAAATGCACTTGGGAGGCAGAGACAGGTGAAACTCTGTGAGTTTGAGTTTCACGACAGCTACACAGAGAAACTCTGTCTCAAAAACAAAACAAAACAAAAACCCAAGATGAATGAATGAAAGAAAACCCATTCCCTAAGATGTCTTCAAAAACTGCCCAAACCATGCCATCCAAAAAGAATGCTGTGCAATGCAGAAAGTTAATAGAAACAAATAACACTCCTGAATTGTTGGTTTGGCCAACACTTACTACTTCTTCCGCCTTCTGGGGACCACAGTGACCAAGTCTTGATGGTGGGGGTGCCCACCCACAAAAGCACCCTATGTTTGGACCAAAACAGCCCATGGACCCAGCTGCCTTTGTCCAAAGTTGAACATCTGGAGCTGCGGGAAGGATGGAGGACAAGGGGTTGGAAGGGCCATTTGGGGCTCACTAGGAGGCAGCCTGCCCTTAGCCTCTTCTCAGCTCTGCTCTGCAGGAACTCTTCTGATGATGCGATCCTTACATTATGTTCTCCCTGGGTTTCCATCAGGTATCACCCCAGGGCATGGGTGACTATTGTAGGTAGCCGCTGTCTATTTGGGGGACTAGCTCAGCTGTATTGGGGTACTAGGAAAGCTGGGGACCACAGCACCTGCTGTTTGTGTAAGAAGAATGTCTGACAAGTTCACCTGTAAAGTTCCTGTAGGCCCAATTTGATCATTTTTTCTGCATTGGCAGGGTCCATATCTATGGATTCAACCAAGCATTAATTGGAAATGTTTGGATGGGGGATTACCTCTGATACAGGCATGGTCATACATTTATAAGGTTGAGGCCTGAAGACAAAAGTCCAAATGGCTGCCTGTCTCAAAAAGAAAAAGAAAAAAAGGGCAGTGACTATGGGAGTATAGCTAAATGGTAGAGTGCTTTCCTGGTATGTACAAGTCACTGGGTAACACACGCGCGCACACACACACACACACACACATTAATATATGAATACACACATGCATATATGTACACATGTATGTGATACACACGAACACTATATACATAAACACATATATACATATATATACACATAAGTGAACATACACATATACATAAATAAACGCGTGCATACGTATGCACACACACATTGGTTATTGAGCATGTACAGGCTTTTGTCTTCATTTCCTAAAGGATACCACTGCATAGCAGTTTTGCTGTGTGTATCATAATATAGAAATGATCTGACTACACAGAAAGACATGTGTGCATTAATGCAGACATTGCAGCATGAATTCTAATTGGTCTTAATAACAAAAGCCCAGAGTCAGATATTGGGGTAAATGCTGAAAGATCAGAGAAGCAAAGGAGCCCGCAGCTAGAGTTCTTACTTCTAAGAAATCCTCAGACCCATAGGGGCAAGGTCCTGTCTCTAGGAAACCAGAGATTGAATGGGCGATTCTGTTCCTAGGGAATACAATGAGCTCCTGTTTCCTCCTGCCTTAATATTCCTCTCCCCACTCAGCCATATCACTCCTGTCTCCACCTCCCTAGTGCTGGGATTAAAGGCGTGTGCCACCACTGCCTGGCCTCTATGCCTAAATAGTGGCTTAGCCCCACACTCTGATCTTCAGGCAAGCTTTATTTGTTAGACCACAAACAAAATATCACCACAAGACATCATGCCGTTTTCTCGAAGGAGTCACATATCTGAGAGTCTCTATGGGTCAGGTGTCCTGGAACCAGTCTCTGGGCATACCAAAGATGACTCCCTTCTTCCTGAGCCACTCACAGTGTGCCAGACTTTGCTCTATCCTCTGACCAATGTTATATCCCCGACACCAACCCTGGGAAGTAGCCACTAGCTCTGTTACAGGTAAGGAGACCTAGGACAATGACATCAGGCACCTCTTGGGTCACACAGCTGGTTAGTTAGTGGTGGGTTTAAGAATTTAATCCCATTCAACTCTGCATGCCCGGTGGTGCTGGACTATAGCCTGTGAGCCCCGGATTGATCAAAACCCTGGCGTGAATGGCTGCCTTCTTCCTTCCACAGGTCGCTTGAAGTTTTCTATCCAGAGGTGGGGAACATCAGCTGCAAAATCGTCCCTCAGTGCAATGAATACAGGCAGAAGATACAGATGTGGTCGGAGCCGATAGTGAAGTTTCCTGAAGCCTTGGATGTGAGTGAATTGGGTTGGCTGAGGGAGAGATTGGGGTCCTGATTTGCCTTTGGCTCACTGTTCTTGGGGGACTTGGAGCCTCATGAGGAGCCCTGAGGGCCATGTTTCAGGAGTCCAGCAACTATTGTTTAGGTCAGTGGTTCTCAACCTTTGTAACGCTGTAACCCCTTTAATACAGTTCCTCGTGTTGTGGTGACCCCCAACATAAAATTATTTTCACAGCTGGGCGTTGGTGGCGCACGCCTTTAATCCCAGCACTCGGGAGGCAGAGGCAGGCGGATCTCTGTGAGTTCAAGGCCAGCCTGGTCTCCAGAGTGAGTACCAGGATAGGCTCCAAAGCTACACAGAGAAACCCTGTCTCGAAAAAGCAAAAAACAACAAAAAATATTTTCACTGCTACTTCATAACTGCAATTTTGCTTCTGTTATGAATTGTAAATATCTGATATGCAGATGGTCTTAGGCAACCCCAGCGAAGAAAGGGTCATCTGCCCCCCAAAGGGGTTGCGACCCACATGTTGAAGAGTAACTGGCTTAAAGGCTTCATGGAAACCAATATATCCCTGTAGGATGGGACCTTTGGACTCACCCTTAATTCATTAGTTCATTAATCCCAAGGGAGGCTCCCACTCTGTTGCTATTACTGCAGGGGTCCACTAGATGGAAGTGTCGACTGCCAAGCTCCTCATCTCCCTCATGGGAGGAATAGGAGGCCAGTTAGGAGAGTCTGGTTTCATTGGGTTTACTTGATTGTCCTGGGATGTGGACACATAACAGAGAAACGATGGACTCTGCCCTGCTCTGAAATCTACTAACTCTGCCTGGAGGTGAGGGTGGAAATGAGAGAAAAGAAACTTAATGCAACCAAGGAGAATCAAGAAGACTGATGAAGGAAGGTTTGGTGGAAGCAGAGGGCAGAAAGAATAAAAGGGTGTGTACTAGTGTAGACCCGATGCTCTCTGAAAATGCACCAGACCCGTGAGAAGGGCTACTGTAAAGCTTGCACCACGTGTCCCTTCATGCGTTGATACCCTCTGTCTACCCAGTTCTCTTCTCAAGTCTAGGGACTAAGTATTTGCTTTCATAAAGGGGTTAGTGGTAAGTCCCAGGATCCTGACTGGATTACATGTTAGTCCCCAAACCAAACAGTGACTCTGGTTCTCTCCACTAAGGGGCTGGTGAGGGTGGCCAGGGATATCCTGATGGGTTCTCTACACTAAGGGGCTGGGGAGGGTGGCCAGGGCTGGTCTGATGGGTGTAAATATCTAAGCCAGTGTTAAGCTGGGTGGTGGCAATGCCGGGCTCAACACATAGGTCTGTCCAATGTCCAACCCTAGAACCCTTGGGCTCCAGCAGTCAATCACTGCCAGGGGTCTTAGGGGGTTTGAGGGGGCACTGAAGGCAAGCTGCTCTGGTGAAAATGGAAAGGGGGTGGGAAGGACACTAGGGATGGCCCTTAAAGAAGGTGGTGGCTGGATCTCTCTCAAAGAGCTCAAGGGAGGAGACAGCTATAGACAGAACAACAGGCAGGGCTGGAGAGGAGGTAGGTGCCATCCTGGAACCGGGTACTTCAAAAGCCAGTCAGGGGTGGGAAGGACTCGCGTCTTCAGCTAGAGGATGAAGGCATTTCCTCAGAGTCCCCAGGGTTGATGGAAAAAGGCAAGAGTTGGCATGCGGCTCAGCGGAGGCAGCACCCCGTTTCCAAAGTAGCTGAATTGAAGTCATCAAAGTGGCAACTA